TGTGTGTGTGTGTGTGTGTGTGTATGTGTGTGTGTACCTATGTATGTATATATGTATGCAAGTATGTACGTATATAAGCCTATGTATGTATGTATATATCTATGTACGTAAATACATGTGTTCGTGCAAAGTTGAGTACGAGGTTGTGTAATTGTTATAAGGAAAGAATAAATAGATAAAGGAATAAACAACCAGATAAATGAATAACAATTAGATAGATGAATTAGATGAATAAATGTGGGTTATTAGATAGTTGAAAAAGACAAAAATACGAGCCTAAATTCAATATATAATTATAATTTCTTTTTGTTGTCTATCAAATCATGTTATGGTAATTGACTATTTCTATTATATATAGACAGAGGAATAAGGTTTATACTAATCTACAGATAGATCCCGTTCCAGGTGAAAAATAATTTTTTTAGCTCGTATCCACCGTACTCGGTAGTACATTTATGAAATCTTTCCCAAATTGCTTTAAAACAATGTTAGCAAACTCATAGAATAGAATATATACCATAAATATATCATACTAGAATAAGTATTTTAACCATAGTAATATAATTGCCGAAATGTACTAATTACTAAATAGATTTTTGAAAAGATGCACCGTCTGCGTTAGTCTCGTAGATTCTCGTCCAGCGCGAGATCCTTTCCGGTGTGTCGCATGGAGAGTGGAGGCGATCGAGCACCATGAAGGTATATTTTTTCCAAAGTTTCGTGTTTTCTAGAGGATTTTCTTTGTAATTTCAGATGAGAAGATGGAGATGTTACATATCTTCGCTAGATTATTCGTGAAAGAGAAGTGCTAGTGAGATATTAAACGCAAAAATTCGGGAAAATACGGTGTGTTTACATGTGACATGCAAACACGTTGTGGCGGACAAGGGCCACAGCGGACCGAGAAAGTTTAATTATAAGATAACGTTTATGATCGTATTTATATTGCGAAATGCGACTAAAAGGGCGTTTTAGGGAATGTGCTTAATGGTCTAATGGCGGGGATGTTGAATTAAGGGCAGGGTGTGGAAGTGCCTCTTAGTGGGGTGGAAAACGTGTTGGCAAAGTGATGAAAAAACGCAATTTCGAGACCTCGAGGCTTTTCACCTTTGGCTGAGTTTATTAGTCTCGAACGAGTAGTTTCGTAATATGTAACTGTAATTTATTTTCACGTGCTCAAAAATCGTCTTCATTAAACATTTACTCGCTTGCCCTTGACGTCATCCAATCGTGATATTTCTTTAATCTTCACAGAATCTAGGCTTTAGGATTCGCAATATGGCGTGGATAATTTGATATTCTACCCTATAAGTATATTCTTTAGCTGAAGGGAGTGGAATTTCCTCTGGCTTACAAAATGGCTGTTCTCTGATGTTTGGAAGCTGCTGTGACATGGAAACCTTTTGTTTGTCTGAACGTAGTTTTGTAGCTGATGAGAGCTTTTGGTTGTCTATGTATATATAGAACGTATTTTCGAGGTCTTCTATTGCCAGAATGTAATTGGCTTTTGTTGCTGACTCCAGAGATTGGCCAAAAAACACATGTGTGAACAGTATGAAATGTAACGTAACCTACATTCTGATTTTTCACTGGACGGAGTGCAAGTCCCTCCCAATAACCCCCCCCCCCCTTATTAGTACATTGTACCAGATTACAAAGAGTGGATATTAAGAAGTCTGGATGTGAGGGTGTTCTGGTAACATTAACCATTTAAGTATTGAAGGTTTGGTGGGTTTTGCTGGAGTAGACAAGTTGTATATGATATTTTTTAAAGTGATATAACTTGTAATTATTTCAAGGGGGAGAGAAATAGATAAACCTGAGATGAGAATCCCATGATTTGAAGTGGCTTGATGAAAATGTTAAAAGGAAAACTGTGAACCAGACTTTGATAATGGTATTCACGGTATAAAGCCTCTCCAGTGTTCAGGAATTTGGCATACCTTGTTTAGTTTCCATGAAATTTCAATAAACTTTAGGTTCATCATTACAGTATGGATACACTAAGCTAGGACAAATTGAAGATATTCTTTCAAGAGGGCTAAAAGCTGTAGTTGAAGTTGTTCATGAAATCTACACACATGCTAAAACTACAAATAAATGTGAATGATTGGTGAAAGGGCTGCCCACAGCATATGTCCATGTGGTGCTCCTTAGCTCAAACTCATCTTGCCATGCATATTGAGGCGAAGATATTTCCCTAGGTGGTATTTGGGGGAGGGGGGGGGTAACTGAGCCCTTCCATAACCATCCACTCAATCCTCCTCTTGTTTGGGCATTCCCAGTCACAGCAATTTAAATTGTTGAATGAATTTGTGACCTCGAGTTAGGGACTGTACTGTAAAAAATTATCCTTGAAGGTAACCAAAGGCTAAGCTAGACAATTCTACAAATCTAGTATGTATATACATACCGACTACACTAAGATAGGGAAAATATAAGGACGATGTAATAAAGTTGGAATGGTGCTGATGCATATACAATACACACAGATGCAAGTTTGCAGTTTGTAGAAAGGGAACCAATGTATTGTAATATTTGAATACTTATTATGGAACTTATTACAATATTTTTCCAGTTTCCTTGATTTGACCCATCAAGTTGCACTGCCTGGTCAGGCCAGCATTGTAGCTGATAGGATTGGGAAGAATTACTGGCCTTAAGCTCACTGAACCATGTTTGATCAGATTCTACAGTTTGAAGAGTACTTTACTCTTATCACATCTTTGTAAATGTTTCCTTGGTGCACCTGGCTCTTACGTCAGATGGCTAATATTATCCATACGCCACATAAGTAGGCCCATTTCTTACTTTTTCTTAGAATGAACTGCAGCCAGGATGGTGTGGAAAATGCATTTCCCCTACTTTTTATTTTTCACTTGTGTGACTGACTGCATACTGAACAAAGCCATGTGTGGTTGGTCACATCCGGTTTAGTTCAGGAGTAGACACAATTCTTTTTATCCAGTGCACTGGATAAAAAACTGATGGAAAACTGATATCAAAAGGAATGTCCAGGTGTACATATTGACAAGACTAGAATTGATTAATGTAGTGATTAGTAAACAAGTACTAAAGGATTGTAGGCCATGATTTGTTCCTCAATTTTTATATGCACCCTGATGATGATGGTGTCTGTCTCCTCACTCTTAGTGCACAAAGGTTTTTATGGTACTTAAATTCTAGTATCTTAATAGAATGAAATTTTCCTTTTATAGAAACAGAAGGAAGGTTAATGTGCATGTGAATGCAAATCTTCTGGTATACATGGACTACAGCAATAAGCATTTACATTATTTACATCATTATTTTCATTGGTAGGACACTGACACTTCAAAATTGTTTTCATGGCTGTGATGGAACTCTGACATATGAAACTAAATTTTTCCAACCTAGCCATAGCAATCATAGATGACTGTACAAGGAGCTAACTGAAACATGCCTCAGGATTTAAAATTTGTCTATGCAATTGGATTGGTGATAACTAGTGGAGTATTTACTTCATAAAAGTTTTATTTAGGGCATGTAAAGCCAAAATATTTTTGCAAAAGGTATATACATTAAACCTCAATTGACTTGTCTGTAATTTATAATTTACTTTCATGTTGCATTTTTTCCCTACAACAACTCTCCTCTCCTTTTCAGTTAAATGTGTCCTACCCCGCAACGGGGTGCCAGAAGCTCTTTGAGTTTGATGATGACAAGAAATTGCGTGCTTTCTTTGAGAGGCGCATGGGCCATGAAGTAGAAGCAGATACCCTTGGTGAAGAATGGAAGGGATACGTCCTCCGCATCTCTGGAGGCAATGACAAGCAAGGTTTCCCCATGAAGCAGGGTGTCCTCACAAATGGTGAGTTTGGTGCATGAGGTTAAGTGTTGCTCTTCAAGATGGTCTTTGTGCCTTTTACAAACATGGACTCTAGATTCTATTTACGTATTTTGGTTTCCTGAATGTTTTGAGGTATGAATTATATTTTAGGGAGAAATTTATCCATGTCAAGAATGCTAACAACCTGTTCTCTCTCCAGAGCGTGTACGTCTGCTGCTTTCCAAGGGCCACTCTTGCTACCGCCCACGTAGGGAGGGAGAGCGAAAGAGGAAGTCAGTCCGTGGTTGCATCGTAGACAACAGCTTGTCCGTTTTGTGTGTAGTCATTGTAAAGAAGGGTGAAGGGGTGAGTCATTTTCCAAAGTTATGTAATAGTATGTTATTAGCCTTGGTAAAAGTGTCAAATGTTTTTAGACATTCAGTATATTTAGTGCTTGCATTGATTCTGAAAAATAAATTAGATGGAAGATGTAGATGTAGTGCACATACATGTAAAGGTGTAGTCAAATTTTTCAAGGCTTAATTGCCAGATTAATATGGAATGGAGTTTAACAAGATGCCATTATAATAGGATAATTTCAGTATATATAGGAAATCATATTTTGTAATATAATAAATTCAGAATAGTCAAAGGTTATTGAGCATCTTTAATATGGAATGTACATAATTTTAATGAGTGAATTGTTCTTAGTTTTCTAAAGACCATAGTAGACTCCTTGCTTTTAACACAAGATCTATTATCACATGAAATTATTTTTTTACTTTCATGGATACTATTGAAACCTGTTATTTGCTCTTAACTCGGGTTTAAAAAAAGGTATGAATGAAAAATGACTATCAAAACACATCAACCACATCTTGTGTGGGGAAGATACTACTTTCCATTCGTACCATGTCTTGCTTTGGCACAGTGATCAGGGTTTCAACCATGTTATCAAAGAAATATTCTTTAGTATTTACTACTGTCCAAACTGTTATGAGAAGCATCAAAAGTTCATAAGATCCTTGATAAATGTTGGTAATTTTGTGCACTGAGGCTATTGGCAGGTTTGATAATCTTGTTCAGAAGACAAAAGGGAATAGATTGTCTGTGACCAAAAAAATGGGGATGAGATCTAGAAGTAACTATAGTAATAAGGGAGTAATATTTGGATAGGATTTCATATTTTGATTTACTCTGATTTATTTGATTAACATCTTTAAGGCCTGTTTATTACACAAGGAAGTGAAGTTCACTTGTCATTTCACTGTTTAAGCTTTGCTAGTCCAATTTTAATTCAGGAAAGAAATTTTGTAAGGTTTGTAAGGCAGTTAGATAGTGTACAGTCATAACACCTTTTCTTTAATGACCTAACCTGCGTTGAGGATTATAGTTTGCTCAGAATCTTGGTGTATTCACAAATTTGTGTGTTAATCCCTTGTAGGTATTATTTCCTCAAGCTTTATAATTTATATGTAAAGTAGAAGAGCTTTAGCATTATGCACATTTGGATCTTTTTAAAACATATTTTCTTATTGAAGAAAACATGCTGAACAGGGTTTCTAAATACCTCTAAAAGCCCAAAGCAAAATTTTTAACGGGACAATATCATGCATTAGGAGGGTGAGGGGGAAATGGATAATGAAAAATGTCTCACACTCAATTTCAATTTCCAGGAGATCCCAGGCCTTACTGATCACAGCGTACCACGTCGCCTGGGACCAAAGCGAGCATCAAAGATCCGCAAGTTGTTCAACCTGAGCAAGGAGGATGATGTCCGTCAGTATGTGATCAAGCGCCCCCTTACTGGCAAGGAGGGCAAGAAGCCCAAGTACAAGGCTCCCAAGATCCAGAGGCTCATCACACCCACTGTGCTCCAGGTGAGAGATTCTCAGATAAAGACTAAAACATTGGTAGAATTGTTTAACTCGGGCTGTTATGTAGCTCATAAAACTTGAGTATTAACCACATGTCAACGGGGATGGGATGCACGTACATGCCATGCCCATTGTGTTTTTAATTTAGTGATTGTTTTTACGTATAGATGGCTCCTCAAGTACTAGGTCACCAATGAGCCAAGTACGAGAAAGTACCTGTCTCACCTGTTTGCCCTTTTCCTTAATTTCCAGTATTTTCTAGTAATTGATACTGCTGTTAGTAATGTTAATAACAATATAGTATTATAAAATTATGATTATTATAAAAATAAGTATTAATATTGATAGGAATGGTTAAAAAAAAGTTTTTCCCACCAGCTCAAGGAAAGGTGCAGTCACAAGATCTACCAATTGACTCCTTTGTGGCCAAGTACTGGAAGAGCCATCTATGTGCACACACATTAACAAAAGAATTGAATTAGTGAATCCAATATTTTCCTGGGAGCATTGGGTTAATTTAGCTTTCTCAATTTCAGTAAAGTTCTTTAAAACCATGAACATTTTTTCTCTAGAATCCCAACTAATTTGTGTACCTGTACCTTTCAGCGCAAGAGATTCAAGAGGGCCCAGAAGCGGGCACGCTTCGCCAAGAACAAGGAAGAGAAGACAGAATTTGCCAAGCTTCTTGCTATGAGACAGAAGGAAGCTAGGGAAAAGAGGGCAGAAGAGATCCGCCGCCGTCGCTCCTCCATGCGTGACTCAAAGGCTTCAGAAAAGTCCGCAACTGAGAAGCCAGCTGAGAAGCCCGCTGTCAAGAAGACTGCAACCAAGAGGCCCGCAGCTGACAAACCCGCTGATAAGCCCGCAGCCAAGAAGCAGGCGACTGATAAGACTGCCGCCAAGAAGCCCGCTGCTGCTAAGACCGCTGCCAAGAAGCCCGCTGCCGCTAAGACAACTGCCAAGGCCCCAGCTGCTAAGTCTGCCGCCAAGAAGCCCGCTGCTGGAAAACCCGCTGCTGCTGCCAAGCCCGCCGCTGGAAAGCCTGCAAAGGGAAAGGGAGCAAAGAAATAAACTAATAAAGCCTCCTCTTTAGTCTTCATATTTTATTAAAACCCTTAATTATCAGTTTGAAGTTTTGAGGGCTTCCCAACCCGATGCATATCCTTATGGCTTGTTTATGCAGGTCTTTAGAATATACAAGCCAAGCCTCTTTGCTGCTGATATATTTGAAATTACTAGACACCATAATAGTTACAATGTATATTTTTTGGACAAGTGAATTAATGTACTAGATTTTTAATTTTAAGTTTTTTATTGCAATTTATGGAATTTAAAAATTTGTCTTTAAGCCAACACAACTGCCAAGATCATTTTCCTTTAAATTTGGCATAAGAATTTTACCACCAGCAAATCTAGAAATTAATATAACACCCATTGGAAATGTGTTCAAACATCTTTATTTGTTGATAACAAAAAACAAGTCCTATGAAAGATATCAAGCAAGCCGTCCTCAGTGGGGACTAATGGTAGTTTCAAACTGATGTATGGAAGGAGACAAAGGTAATCAGTATTTATAACAGGACTTGGATACAGTAAATTTTTTGCTGCATACGTAACAACCCCCCTCATTCCTTTGCTTCTTGTTGAGGGGCTTAAGTGAAGGATACGGGGCTCAATACAGGATCACCACTACCTTGGATCTCGTTTATCGCCGCGACAAATTTTGCATGATTTGCCCTCCCCGCTCTACACCTGAAGTGATAGCCGCAGAAAGGATGAAAAGCTTGAATGGCCTTCGTCCTCTGCTCTTCCCCTTTACCCTTTTCACTACCATACTAAACCTACAGCGCTTGCTTCCTTTGACATGACATATTTTGTTCTAATCGTTTACTCTTATTAACCTTTTGCCACATGTTTTATCGCAGTGCTCTGACCTTTTCTTACTTGGGGGGGGGGGGGGGTTGATGCAGCAGATTTTTTTCACAAATCGATAATACTAACCTACAGCGTTCTACAACGTTTACATCAAATATATTTTGTCCAATTCTTAAATTTCTCTCAAACACTTTTGCCACAAAACTTTGTGTTGGTGCTGTATATGACTCCCTTACCTGGGGTTTCGCCTTACCTTATCGCTAAATTTTGAATACGCCGCTAATTATCTTGAATATAGACGAGGCAGAAATTTGTCAATAAATAAGAATAATGTATGCGTAATATTTATATATAATATTTATAAAGTTCTTACCAGTAAATCCCCCCCCCCCATCCCTTCCCCGTTGTCATAGGGCGGCTAAGTAGACGGAGACACCCAATGCAGGGATCTCTCCTGCTTAGGGCCTCATCCCTCAACTCAACTAATTTTGAATGGCCTTTTCTCCCTCCAGCTTTTCTGTTTGTCCCTTCTCCAACCCCTTCTATTATCTACATCCTAAGATATTGAAAGGATGAAAGGTGGACTTTGTGCCAGTCCTGAATGGCCTAAGGGAACCATGGGCACGGTATTTCCCTGTTTTAGTTGTCTAGCCCTTACCCCTCAAGGGACCCGAGGGGTGGACTGTTTTTCCCCCAACATAGTCAAGGTTTCCCATGGCTAGTAATGAAAATGTAATAACCTAATTAGAGGCAATGAGCTCGCTCTCGCTCGCTCGCTCGCTCGCTCGCTCTCTCTCTCTCTCTCTCTTCTCTCTCTTCTCTCTCTCTCCTCTCTCTCTCTCTCTCTCTCTCTCTCTCTCTCTCTCTTCTCTTCTGTCTCTCTCTCTCTCCTCTCTCCTCTCTCTCTCTCTCCTCTCTCCCTCTCTCTCTCCCTTCCCCTCTCTCTCTCCCTCTCTCTCTCTCTCTCCCTCTTTCTCTCCCTCTCTTTCTCTCTCCCTCTCTTC